GTACCGTCCTGTTCTCTCTCGTGTTCTCGCCTCTCTTGTTACCCACCCTCGTGCCTCTGTGTCCTCTGTGTCCGCTCTTACTGCCGCAGTCACTGAGTTTGCCTCTACCCGCCGCCTTGACTTCGCCACCGCTCTTGTGGCTGCTCCTCCTTCCAGTCCTCTGGCCGTCGGGGGTGTGTCTGCCCTTGGCAGTGACGCCCTAGAGGACAGGCAGTTTGAGCTAGAGTTCCTGGCGGCCGCTTCCCCTCATCTCTGTGCCATGCTCCTCGCCCCTGAGGGTGACCCCGACGCCCTTGACATTCCGACTCCTCGCACTTACGCTGAGGCAGTGTCAGGGCCTTGGGCCTCTCAGTGGAGAGCTGCCATGGACGCAGAGATGGCCTCCTACAGATCCACAGGCACCTACGTCGATGAGGTTCCCCCTCCGGGGGCGAACGTAGTCGACGGCATGTGGATCTACAGGGTGAAGCGGCCACCGGGATCTCCTCCGGTCTTCAAGGCGCGCTACGTGGCTAGAGGTTTCAGTCAGCGCGAGGGAGTTGACTTCTTTCAGACCTTCGCGCCCACCCCAAAGATGACCACTCTTCGGGTGTTACTACACGTAGCAGCACAGAGAGACTACGAGTTACACTCTCTCGACTTCTCTACTGCTTTCCTTCAGGGCAGTCTTCACGAGGAGGTCTGGTTGCGTCGTCCCTCTGCCTTCACTGGCTCTTTCCCTCCTGGGACCCAGTGGAGGCTGAGGCGACCTGTCTACGGTCTTCGTCAGGCTCCTCGTGAGTGGCACGACACCATGCGTTCTACCCTGTCTGACCTTGGGTTCCAGCCGTCTTCTGCCGACCCGTCGCTGTTCGTTCGCCGTGGCTCCACACCTTTCTTTGTTCTGGTCTACGTTGACGACCTTGTTTTCGCCACCCCTGACAGGGTTGCTTTGGCACACGTGAAGTCCGAACTGCAGAAGAGACACACCTGCACTGATCTTGGTGAGCTGCGCCACTACCTTGGCCTGCAGATCACCAGGGACAGAGCTGCTCGCACCATTACACTTTCACAGTCGCACATGGTGCAGCAGGTCCTTCAACGGTTCGGGCTTCAGCACTCCACAGTACAGCGCACACCTCTTGCTGTTGACCACAGACTCACTGGACCCTTTCCTGATGAGCCGTTTGAGCCTAGTGGTCCCTACGCAGAGCTTGTGGGTTGCCTCATGTACCTGATGACTTGTACTCGCCCGGACCTCGCTTTCCCTCTCAGCATCCTTGCACGCTTTGTTGCGCCAGGGAGACACCGTCCTGTTCACTGGACAGCAGCTGTGAGGGTGGCGAAGTACCTAGCGACGACATCAGGCGTGGGGCTAGTTCTTGGAGGACAGCAGTCTGTCGTACTTACTGGTCACTGTGACTCCTCTTACGCTGACGACGCTGAGACTCACAGGTCTACTCAGGGGTACTGTTTCAGCCTGGGTTCTGGAGCTGTTTCCTGGCGGTCCACGCGCTCCTCTTCGGTCTCGACCTCTACAGCTGAGGCTGAGATCTACGCTGGTGCCATGGCGGCACAGGAGCTGCGTTGGTTGACCTTCTTGCTCACCGACCTTGGTGAGCGGCCGAGCTCTGCACCGACCTTGTTCACTGACAACAAGGCGTCTATTCTCCTTTGTCGAGAGCCACGACTGGAGAGCAGAGTGAAGCACATCAACGTCAGGTACTTTCTTCTTCGAGAGTTGCAGAGGCGTGGACAGGCTCGCTTTGAGTTTGTGGAGTCCGAGGCCAACACTGCAGACATCTTCACCAAGGCGCTTCCGCCTTGTGACCACCAGAGGTGCTGTGTGCAGTTAGGCCTTGTTGACACTGGTTCTCGTGTTGCTTAGACTTGAGTGTACTGTTTACTTTGCTTTCTATATATCTCTGTTACTTCTTGGACTGGCCTTGTGGCCACTGTTGTTTGTGCTCAGACTGTGTGGTGACGTTGTGATCCACCCTGAGCTTTGTTTCTTGGACTGGTCTTGTGACCGTACTCGTTTGGTTCTGCTAGACACCCCTCACTTAGGCTATGGGGGTGTGTCAAATGTTGTAGCCTATAGTGAGGTTTGTCTTAGGGGGTACAAAACTTAGGGTTAGCTATATGTACCCCAACCAACATCAATGCATCATCCATTCTTCATTCTGACAAATTGTGGGTACAAGTAGGAGACAAAGGAGGTGAACCACCAACACAAAGAGTTTATAACTACACTAAAGCTACAGCTACAGGCAGGTACATAAATATATATAAATATATATTCTAACAACAAGGCCAAACCAAGAGTTACAGATATATACGGTATGCAAAGTGTACAACAAAACAAGCAAAGACTATACAAGACGAGAACCTGTGTCAACGAGACCTAACTGCACACAACACCTGTGGTGGTCACAAGGCAAGGCGGAAGAGTCTTGGTGAAGATGTCTGCTATGTTGACAAGCGAGCCTATCCACGGCTCTCCAACTCCCGTAGAAGAAAGTACCTGATGTTGCACCACCATCGTGCGGAGCATCTCCGCCGCGTCCCGCGCGTCCCTCTCCAGCTCCGCCAGTCGCCGCTCGTCCGCCTCCACGCGGTTCCCCTCGAAGTGCCCTCGCACCTCCGCGCGCCCCGCGGTCTGCGCGTGCTGGTCCACGGGGAAGGATTTGCGGATCGCACGGAGCAACGTGCGGTAGGCGCTGAGGGCGGAAGCGGAGGCGATGGCGGAAGCGGCTGCAGCTGCAGCAGGCTGGATCATGGCGGAGGAGCTACTTGTGCTGTGCGAATGGTTCTGACTGCCATCGAGTGATTACCAGATTCGAGCGAATGAGGAGTGCAAAGTCGAGTAGAAGATGAGGGGTGGAGTTGGTGGGAACGGCGCGAGGAACTAAAGCAAAACCCACACCCCACACACAACTTTTTGCGATTTGTTATTCTACAGCGCAAAGAAAAACGGTGCTAATATACCCTTTTTTATGAACTACATTCCAGAGCAAAATCATCTTACTATAATTCTCACAACTCGTTTGAGCAAGACCACATGAGTGTTGTCCAAACTACAGACTCCAAGAACTCACTATGTTTTACATAAAGTATATACGCAAGGAATGTAATACACACTTAAAATGGGTGTGACTAGAGGTTGCCTGAGTCAGCCAGAAAGCGATCAAATGTGTTTGCTTGAGGAGCAGCAGAGGGAGAAGTGAACATTGGCACGAGTGATAGTCATGAGAGAGGCAGGAAAGGAAGTAAATCAGCCGCAGCAGTAGCATGCGACTAGGATGCCACTGCTAACTTTTGAGGCGCCGTAAAAGTAGCAAGGAGGAGCGACTATGTAGAGCAGCAGTGGAGCAGTGGGAGGAGCAGTAGCAGGCAACTGAGAACGTTGTAACGCCGTGATGTGTGGTGCACATTAGGAAGACCAGTGTAGCTGGAATTTATCCATGGCAGTGCACGTTCTTACAGCAGCAGCGGTAGTGGCAGGCGACAGACAAAGTCGTCGCAGCTGATGATGCAGTTGAGACTGTAGTGGCAAACAGAGAGGCAGAACAAGAGTCTGCGCTGACATTGCACATGGCTCTAGTGCAGCAGCAGCATGACGGACAAACAGGCAAACAGGGAGGCGACACCTTATAGGCGACAGACAATGCCGTCGCAGTTGGTGGTCCGTTGAGGCTGTAGTGGCAAACAGGGAGGCAGACATTGCATGGCAGCATATGCCTCGAAAGCGGCAGCAGCAACAGTGGCGTTTGCCCTTGGTGTGTCGCTGCTGCAGGTACTGATGTGACGAGAGTGTGGCGATGAATTGGGAGTTTGGGTGGATGCAGATCGGTTCGGTTGTGTGGTGGGGAATGAGGGTGGGTGGCCTGTCCCATGGCAGCACATGCCTCTGTAGCAGCAGCAGCAATAATGGCGTGTGTCTTGGTATGTCGCTACTGCAGATAATGACGTGACAAGAGTGTGGCGATGAATAGCGAGCGTGGGTGGATGCAGATCGGTTCGGTTGAGTGGTGTAGAATAAGTGTAGGTGGCATTTTCCAAGGCAGCACATGCCTCTATTGCAGCAATAGTAGTGTTCATTGTGGGGTGTCTTCTAGAAGGCTGACTCAAGAGTCACCTCTATAGCAGCAGCAGCGTGTGGCGTAGAATGTTGCTGCATGTGATGATGCCTGTGAGTGTCCGTCGACCATCTGGGAGCCGTACCACCACGGGCAGGCGAGACACCTGTGGTGTGCCACATGGAGTATGGCATGCAGGGAGGGGAAAGGAATAAATAAGGGCAGAGAGAAGGGAGCCGTAAAATTCCTTTTAAGTTAAGTCAAATCTTTCCCTAGAGCAGCAGCAGCGTGTGATGATGCCTGTGAGCGTCCTGCGACCATCAGGGAGCCGCACCACCACGGGCAGGCGAGACACCTGTGATGTGCCACACGGAGTATGGCATGCAGGGAGGGGAAAGGAACAAGTAAGGGCAGAGAGAAGGGAGCCGTAAAATTCCTATTAAATTAAGTCAAATCTTTCTCTAGAGCAGCACCAGCATGTGCCTTAGAATGTCGCTGCATGTGATGATGCCTGTGAGCGTCCTGCGACCATCAGGGAGCCGCACCACCACGGGCAGGCGAGATACCTGTGATGTGCCACATGGAGTATGGCATGCAGGGAGGGGAAAGGAATAAGTAAGGGCAGAGAGAAGGGAGCCGTAAAATTCCTTTTAAGTTGGCCCCGCTGTGCGAGCGCCACAGCATCTCCATCGCCTCCTTGTCTGCCTACGCCTCCCTGCTCACCCTGTCATGGCCGTGCGACGAACCTGCGGCCGAGCATCGTACTCGAACGCGCGAGGGGAACACCTGAGGCGAGGAGGGGAGGAGAGGAGGGGCGTGGGAAAGGAGGAGGGGGGGGGGAGGAAGGCAGCACTGAACTGCATCCCGTGCTTCTCCGCCTACCTACGCCTCCCTGCTCCCTGCTCCCGAGCATCGTACTTAAATGGCAAGTTTTGAGGCGCCTCAAAACTTGACGAATCCGCTGCTGAGCATCGTACTTGAATGTGAGACGGGAAGACCTGACGCACGACCGAGCATGGTAGGAGGATATGGGAAGGGTGGAACAGTTAATACGGGGAAAGAGCGGGGGGGGGGGGAGGGGGGAAGCAGTGCAAGGGGGAGCAGGAAAGGGGGGAGCAGAGCAGCGGGGAGCAGGGGAGGGGGGAGCAGCGCAAGGGGGAGCAGGGGAGGGGGGAGCATCGCAAGGGGGAGCAGGGGAGGGGGGAGCAGAGCAGCGGGGAGCAGGGGAGGGGGGAGCAGCGCAAGAGGGAGCAGGGGAGGGGGGGGCAGCGCAAGGGGGAGCAGGGGAGGGGGGAGCAGCACAAGGGGGAGCAAGGGAGGGGGGAGCAGCGCAAGGGGAGCAAGGAAGGGGGGAGCAGCACAAGGGGGAGCAGGGGAGGGGGGGGCAACGCAAGGGGGAGCAGGGGAGGGGGAAGCAGCACAAGGGGGAGCAGGGGAGGGGAGTAGAAGAGGGGGGAGCAAGGGAGGGGGGAGCAGCGCTAGGGGGAGCAAGGGAGGGCTAGCAAGAAGGCTTGCCTCTAGCCTGAGTGGACGGGAGATTCGCTGCGGAACACGACGAAAACGATTTAACGACAAAAACGGACTTTTCGGGGCCAGGAAAAGCATCCGCCAAGGACGAACGAGGAGGGATGAAAGAGTGGCGAAAGAGGCGTAAGACGGGAAGAGCCGGAGAGCTTACTTTCAACGCTTGTCTCGAGAGCTTTGCTTGAGAAAACGAGATTCGCGTGTCGATGCTGGCGAGCTGCGGGGTACGTCTGGCCAAACACCGAATTGTATCCATGGACAACGTCGTTCAGAATTGCGCCTTGGTTAAGAATTGTTGACACCCTGGTTTGCTGTGATACAGTAGTCGCCAAAAAGGTCGGGTAGGGGTGGGAAGGGAGGCAAATAAGAAGTGGAAGACCTTTTGTGATATGCGTCAAATATCTGAGGGTCGCGAAAGAGGGCATCAGAGGGATGGGAGAGGAAATGAATGCAAGATTTAAGATCTCACCGTGTTTCTCCCCAATCGCGGTGGGTTGGCGCTATTCTTTTCAACATGGCTACGAGCTACGATGGTACTTCTAGGCGGGCGAGCATGGCTACATGCGAGGTGGTGTGACGACTCGGCTGCCAGGGGCTTACTCGTTTCCTTTGGGCGAGGCGGTACTACTGCCTAACGGTTGAGTGCGTTGTGAGCTATTTCTCTCTCGACTGACGCGGCTGTTGGTTTGGAATGAAGACACGGTGGTATAGGACGGGCGACGTCTTTTTGAGGTCGAATAAACACAGAAAACGAGAAAGACTGAATCAGGGAGGCAAACATGGCGTGGTATGCTGCCGAATTTCCCCAATCAGTTCTGCCTACGATTGGTAACCAGTTCAATCAAGGAAACCGTTTGCGAAAATTTTTATAATCTCCAGACTTTGGCTGCGTTTTACAGGCGCATCAAGGCTCAGTTCAGCACCCACGGAAGAAGGAAAGAAGGAAAATTTGAAGCCTTTTCTATAAAGCTTTTAATCGCATCATCTAGGGCTGTTCAGTGCGGGCTGTAGGGTTAAAATTTTTGGAAGCCGATGCGCAGGTGTTTTACAGCAGTGACGCGAACATCACCGGAGATTGATTCCCCCCCCCCCCCCCCCCCCCCCCCCCCCCCCCCCCCTTTAGCGGAAAGCTTCCGCCGTAGTGAGACGAATAAGAAAATGATTCTTATCCAATACAAGAATAAAAAATTTGATTCCACAATATTCACTGTAAACGGGACAACATTGCACCCTACGAATGAAGGGGTTCATGAAAAAAAAAAAAAAAAACACACACACACACACATACACACACACACACACACACACACGCACACACACGCACGCACACGCACGCACACGCACGCACACGCACGCACACGCACGCACACGCACGCACACGCACGCGCGCACGCACGCACGCACGCACGCACCCACGCACGCACGCACGCACGCACGCACGCACGCGCGCACGCGCACGCGCGCGCACACGCACACGCACGCACACACACACACACACACACACACACACACACACACACACACACACACACACACACACACACACACACACACACACACACACACACACACACACACACACACACACACACACACACACACACACACACACACACACACACACACACACACACACACACACACACACACACACACACACACACACACACACACACACACACACACACACACACACACACACACACACACATTTACTCCAATAGCGTGGGGCAGCCACCCCTTTTTTTCATTTGGAAAGAGCCCGCTACAGTTCCCTGTGACATTAAAATGTCCAAGCAAATGTGCCAGCTCCCCCATGACGCAGGTTGTCCGCGGAGTGGTCAAACCAAAGTCAAAATTCGTTAACCCTGCTTTGGCGCGCGCCTCACCTTCCCCTCATGTTCTTAAAATTTTGCATCCTCTTGGCTGTCAAGCTAATCCCAGCTCGATGCGTCTGAGGCTCGGCCTGATGCGCGCATTGTGAAATCGAGGTTCGGAAATGAGAAATTGGAAATCTATAAATTGAGGTTCGGACATTTGGATTTGGGCGGCGTTCTGCAGGCGCATCAGTTTTGATGCGTCGGAGGCTCGGCCTGATGCGCACATTGAAAAATTGAAGTGCGGAAAATGCGAAATGGGGATAACAAAATTGGGGCCCGAACATTGTGAATTGAGGTTAGGAAAATTTGACAAAACGAATCGAGGTCAGGAGATTGAACATTCAATGTCTTGATAAATTTCAACATTTTGAGTGTACAGGTTCCTCGGAAGTTAGATGTCGCTGAATTTCGAGGTGCCAAACTGATTGGCCAATGAAGTTGCAGCGATTTTTTGAAATTGCATGATGTGCGTATGAAGCGATTTTTTGATGTTGCATGATGCACGCATTTCAAATGCGCCCGATTGCTAGGAGAAGAAGCGTCTTGAAACATGGTAACACTACAAATTTTGAGTGCCAAAAAGGCATTCGGGCATTCAGGCATTCATTCTGCAGGCATTCGGGCTTGCTTTGCCAAGGCAGCCATGTGCTTATCGCGAGCCTTGATAATAAGCCAGCAGGTTTTCAAAAAAGGATCCTGGAACGCGGGGAAATTGTAGAAATGTACATCGATGTGCGTGCAGAACAAGGCCTTGATGTCTGGAAAATCAGAAATTGGAGATTTGGAAATTGGACATTTCAGATCTCGATCATCAATTTTCACAAATGCCACAATGCTGAGGGTTTCGCTGAAGTCAGCCAGCACGAGTATGACACATTCGCCACATGCCAGTAATGTCTGCCCGATAATGCCCACACAAGAGCCAGATAGCTAAAAATGAAAGGGGAAACTCGAACATCCCTCAACCCCTAACAAGAGCGTTTTGTTACTAACGTTGGGCAGCAGTGGGCCCAAAAGGACGTTCGGATTTTTATTTTGAGGGTGTAGTACAGTTGCCCCGCACCAATTGATGCGTGCATCATGCGAATTCTAGCAGTTGCATGATGCGCGTACTAGCTTCGCGATAGTTTGCTAGGACGAGAAACATCCGGGAACGTGAAACATTTGAATATTTGGTCGCCAAAAAGGCCGTTCAGCATGCATTTGGGCTTGGTTTGCCTCGACAGCCATGCGCTTATTGCGAGCCTTGATAACCTGTCGGCGTGCTATCAAAGAACAAGCGTGGAACCATGGTAAAAAGTAGCAACGCACATTCATGCGGGCTGATGATGCGCTTGAAGAACGCTGCCATTGTAAATTGAAAAATTCAGGTTCAAAGATTTGAAATTGAGGCTACGTTCTACAGGTGCATCAGCTCGATTCGATGTGTCTAAGGCTCGGCCTGATGCGCACATTGAGAAATTGAGGTTCGAAAATAAGTACTTGTAATTTGAGAAATTCAGGTTCGGACATTTGAAATTGAGGTTTGGAAAATCTGAAAGTGTAGATTGGAAATTTCGACATTTCAGATCTCGATCTCCAATTCCCTCAAATTCCAGAATGCTGAGGGATTCGTCGAAGTCAGACAGCACGTACCTGACGCCTTCGCCACATGCCTGTACATACTGCCCAACACTGCTCACACGCGAGCCCGGTAGCTGCCTAAAAATGTGAAGGGGAAACTCGAACATCCCTTGTGTTGTTCTTAGTACGGTAGTTTGACTTGCTGAGATCGAAACCCCTCTGCATCCATTTGGAAGGCCCTCTATTATTCGGTAGGTGTTTCTGACGTTGGGCAGCAGCGGGCCATCAATGATGCAGCCTTTCTTTTAGGGCGTTGTTCAATTGCCCCATTTGAGATGATGCGCACATCATGCGACTTCTCGGAGTTGCATGATGCGCGCATCAACAATGCACCAGACTGCTAGTAGGAGGAATTTCTCGAAACGCGGCACCATGTTAAATTTTGGTCGCCAAAGGTCGTTTCGCAGGCATTCGGGCTTGGTTTGCCTCGGCAACCATGCGCTTATGGGGATCCTTGATAACCTGTCGGCATATTATCAAGGAAGGATCTTGGAACCATCGTAATATGTAGCAATGTATATTGATGCGGGCTGATGCACCTGGAGAGCGCAGCCCATGCCAACCGATGCCCGATCTTCTGAAATCCGTGAAATGTCGCTATTGGATTGTTCCCCACACCTCAATGTTTATTGCTTCATTTGACTGGTTGCTCACCCTTATGACAGCCAATGGTTTGATCCTTTTCACGGAATGATTCTTGATTGGTTCAGAGTCCATCAATGGTCGCGACCATTTTGACGACTTCAGCGAATCAACGTGAAAGAGGTTACATCAGCTGTTGTGCTTTCGCGTGAAAGTTGTCGTCCGCGCCAATGTGCTTCGCATGAGAGTAGCTGCTTGAGCAAAATGTCCCGATTTCTAAAAGAGAGCACTACCTTAGCCGGCAAAACGAAACATGATGAGAAACATCAGAGGCTTCTCGAAGTGCAATGTCACAGCTGTCCCTACCGAGGTCTGCATGCCTTGCTCACTAGGGTGGTATGCATTAGAGCACGCTCTTGTACTTCCGCATCCCCACGTTCCAGATCTGTCAAGTATTTTCAACAAATTCTCTCTCTCTGGTTATTTTCAAATCTCCTTTCTAGTAGTGCTTCATATCCTCTGGTGCGGCACTAGCGTTCTCATCTCCATCTCCGTGTTAAGTCAGGCCGCATTCCTCTATCCCCTCTTCGTGTTAGATCGACCACTCGTGCTCCGCTCTCCCCCTCTTCATGCAACAACCGGCGCTAAAGCGGACACAATGGAGGATTACGCGGAGGGCCGCGCCACCATGTCAACGGATGAAATCATCTAGATGATTGCGCTCCACATTATTGTAGAGTTCCTTCCAACGTAAGTTTCTATCGTTTACTTAAGTCATTCGTCTCTTGGGGGTTGGCTCATAGCGCCTTGGGATTTCCTTGCGCGGCAGGGGCTGGTTTCTTACGCACTGTGGGCTTTTGTGTGAGCTGACGAGGTGTACAATTTCCCCCTCCCCCCTCGTCCCCTATGGTTCTATCTCGATTGTATTCCTCCCCCCCCCCCCTCCCCTCCCCTAGTGAAAAATTGTCAACCCTTGTGGAGAAAACAATCTCAATGCCCTTTTACGAGTTGAAGAGCAAAAGTGAATGCATATACAACATGAACATCAAATACCGTAAAAGTATCAGTGTATTGTGTATAAAAGTATCAGTGTATTGTGTATAATACAACATGAACATCAAATACCGTAAAAGTATCAGTGTATTGTGTATAATGTGTATTAAAACTATTCACAACTGTTCATTTGCACCCTTTAATGATTTGTTTTTGTTTGTGTTGTTATTACAGAAAAAGAAAACATTTCACTCCAAAAATTGCTATCATAGAACGCTTAAAATTAGTAACTGCGAACACCTACGAGCGTCCGTAAAGGTATTCAACAAAACAAACTGAAGGTTTGTTGTTAGATCCAACTAGAGCGATCTTCTTTGTTGGGGTGAACAAAAATGATGTGCATGTCTTTGACAGTTCTGTGAACTTGTGCATTTTAAC